CAGACACTGTTCCCAGTTCAGTGCTGACTTTTAATAATCTAACCAATCCGCTCTAAGTATACAGTCTTACTCCTAGCCATAAACAGCTAGCTTGAACTTGGATTTTTTTTTTCAAAAGGGGAGGAGGAAAAGACAGACTACATATCCCAGAGTACTTTGGCATTTTAAACAGAGACTTGGTCATGCACCATCTGTTAACCCAGGGCTGAAAGCCACAGCAGGAACAGCCCATATGCCTGTGGAAACCTCCCCTTTCACTTCCTTTGGATTTGAAATGCAGTTCTGTTTTTTAATTTTGGCGCCTGCCTGAAAACTGTAAACCAACTGCTGCTGGCCCAGCTCCAGAACTTAACTGCATCTCTCTCAATGGAGTTGCTCCTTATCTGTATTCATGTTCTGTTTCAAATATATCTACCTTTTACCAGTTAAAGCAATTAAATGCTTGTCAGTACCAAGCCACGCACTTATGATGAGCATCTTGTTTCTTTCCCAGTACCAGCAAATATTTGGAGGATTCATGCCAAGATTATATATTTTAGGAATGTTGAAAACTCCATTCTAACCGTTTTGGTTTTGGGGGTTTTTTTGTTTGTTTGTGTTGGGGGTTTTTTGTGCTTATCTCAATACCTCCTTCCTGCTTTGTCATTTGTAACGTTTCAAATTCAAACCCTTCTCAATTTAATCCAGATGTTCCTACTTATTTACTTGATACAGTTAAGCCCAGGCTTACCTATTTGTTTTTAGGAAGTATCTTCTAGGTTTTGAATCCTTGAAAAACATGGAAAATTTGTTCCCTAATAATTTTAACAATTCCTTTCATAATATGGAATTTCATATTTTGTCACAGCAAAATTTCTTTTCCCAAACAATTTCCCTTAAACATGAATTAGTACTTGGATGCTTGAGCTATGATATATTTTATAGTTTCTTAGATGGTCCACTCTCCATAGGAAAAATCTAGCTATGGCATGCATGGTTAGGGTACCATACATGAGCAAAAGTGTCCACGCTACTCCCTGGTAATACACAATATTCTATATGGGCTGTAACAAGTACCTTAGTGAGATTGACTGCCATGTCAAACGAATTATCTCCTTGAGCGGTACTAAATCATTAGTGGTTCTGTCTGTCATTCATTCCTCATCTCCTAGCCTTTGTTTCCTGAATCATCAAGACACATGCACAAGATCCACACACTAGCACTACCCACACCAATAAAATGTAGAGTTGATTACAGCTTACTTCTTTCATTCAGTGAGCAAAATTGATCCTCCAACCTCAGAATTTAATATCCATTCACTGATAATAAAGGCTTGGCCCAGGGACCTTATGTATCTCTGAGAAGTACAGGCAGGCAACTCTTGGAATAACAAGGAATATTGACAGTAAGGGTGTGTCCAGACGAGTATGCATGTGTGGTTTGTGGCACTGCAAACTGTACACGCTGCACATGCATGTGTTTGCTGTGCTGCTAATTAGCAGCATGATGATTTTTTTTGTCACAGGGATCTCCTGGTGTCAAAAAAAGATTCACAAGAAAAAAAGCAGAGTGGCATACATACATAGTGGCAAGCATGTACTGACTGAAACCAGAGCCTGACTGACCAGGCTCCTCATGTCTAGATTGCCACTGCTACAGGCCTGACAGGTCCCCAGGACCAAAGGTAAGGCTGCTGGGGGCAGCCCAGGTGCTTCAATGATTCTCTCAGTTTCTCCAATCCCTTCTCAGCAAAGGACTATACGGTTCTGGGAAGTGAAGATGTATCTGAACATTTTGTTTCAAATTCAACCCAGCTCAGTCAGCAGTTACCAAGTCATTCATTTAAACCATCTGATGACAGCTCATTAGTTTGCAAGAAGGGTCACATGTATTCAGCAGCCATTGATTTTATTGCAGCACAGAGCCTTGACCAAATCTTTTATTTTAAAAAATATGTTTCTCGAGTGGACAAATCAACTTTCAGGATGAACAGGACCACACCATGCTGTATGGAGATGCAGACTCCCTGAATGGATTCCTCATAAATTCCTAAATATTTGGGATCTTGTGCACTGATTGGATAAGAGGACTGGAGAAGGACGTGCCACTACAGCTCCCCACAAAGGACAATAGAAAAAAAGTTCTTTAGAAATAGTCACAAGGGGGGCAAGAATATCATCATAACAATGTGAATATGAGGAGCAAAAAACAAATTAGATACTATGTCCCAAAGACTAGTTCTGCATCTGCTATGAGAACGCTCATAGTTAAGGGAACAGAACAGAACACCATGCACATTTGGGGGATTAAAGCCAAACAGATCCCGTACTATCTGTAAAACAAGGGCTCTTTTAGATAGGTGAAACATGTGCTGAACTTGAAACTCTTTGAAAAGTTGCTTCCTTTCATTGCTATAAACAGATTGTTCAAGCTGAATGCTTCTTGTAATTCATGGCAGAATCTTCCTGGCAGGGCACCCTTCTACACGTAGGATAGATCTAAGAACACAGAATTGTCACTCCAGCTTGGACTGGAGTCTATCCAGTCTACCTTCCTGTCTCAGACAGTGGCCCATATGTATCAGACAATTCAAAGGAAAGTGCAAAACCTCCCAATGATAGATATTTGCAGAACGATCTGCCCATAGGGGCAATTCTTTCTAACCCTAACGAGCTAGTGGTTGGTAGGTGCTCTGAAACAGAAGTGTTAATATCCCCCTGTTACAAAGATGAGCAATGCAGTAAAAACAATACAGGTATTTCTTGGGACTCTGACTGCAAGCACTTGCATAGCTTGTGGAACGGGAGACAGAAATTTCTGTATATACGTGATTGTTGCATATACAGATTAACAACCCATCTAAATTGGATTAACTGGGGTAATTCTTGATGCAAGTTTTAATTAACATTGGACCAGGACTTTCAATCCTAAACTTTGTGGGATTTTACTTTCAGATCCAGACCTGAATTTCATTCTATGTCCACTCCACACTACAAAAGTTCTGCCAGCAAAATACATGCACATTCAAAGCTCCTCTGTGGCAGCAGAACCCTCCATTCCATCATAAGAATTACTCCACCTCTGAGGAGTGGAGCAAGACTTCCGCTGATTCCCAGCAGCAAGCAAGAGAATCTAAAAACTCTTGTATCTTCACCCAGCTGCCATGGTCCATTCAGCAGCTGGTGCCCTCTCAAAATAGATTTGTGCTCCAGTGGTACAACTGTTGGACCACAGATGTGTTGAGCTTCCAAAAGCCCATAATGCACATGCTCTGGCAGCTGCCATCTGGCTGTAGAAGCATCTTAGTGTAGACATAACCCTAATTTTATAAAGTCCCCAAACTAAGAAAAACTTGGAAGACGTGGCACACCAAGCAAATTTTTTGTAAAGACAAAGAGTCCAAACCAGACTTAGATTAACTTCAGTTGAGTCATTCTTGAAGTTCACCAGCACCATACAAATCAGGTCTGCACACCTCTCATCTCCAGCATAGAGCTGATATAATGTGCTCTACATAGGGCTACATAGTAAATTCATTCAAAGTTGGAAGCTAGCACAGAAGGTTCAGCCTGATTGAAAAGTGGACTATCCTGCCCAGAGAGTACAAAACCAGCTGTCTGGGATTTGCATTTGGTTCCAAGAAAAAATAAATGTGTTACTTTTGATTTATCAAGCCCAAAATGACATGCACAGTACTATGTAAACAACTCCTGTCTATCTTCTTTCCCTCCACCTATGAGCCTGCTTAGCTGAGATTAGCAAAGGTGTTCACACTAGAGCTTCCTCAGGGAATGTGTGAGGCACTTTCTCTGTGATGAATTCTCAGATTTACAGCTCACTCCAAGTTTTGATGGAATCTGCAACCTAATATAGGGTTGGGGTGTTATTGTACCTGTGGTGGTCTAGAAAATATGCGAGAAATTAGGGGTGTTTTTAGTGTTATCTTTTACTAGATGGTATAGTTGGAAGGAACATTAGACAAGCTCTTGGGCCCAAAGTGCCCTTCCTCAGGTCTTAGAAATAAGCAGGTACAGCCTGAGTCAAATTCAGATAAAACAATAGCTTTTTTTATCCAACAGGACTGGAGCAGGACTCCATGGCCTCTACATCAGTCATCTTGCTATTCCAGATAGTAACTGTGGCAATCCATGAAGCAGGGCACACACTGGGTGCACACTGTTTTGCACCTGTTGATATGGGTGTTTCAATTATCAGGGATGTCATCAAGAAATCGGTCATGCTGGGACCACTGCCTCCTGGAAGCACAGATTTCTGCCCCCCATTGTCCTTGCCATGGTGGTAGACCAGCTAGATCAACTTAAGTAAATGGAGAGGAGGAACTGCAGGAAAGTAAAGGTCACTGCTATTTTTGGAGCTCCTGTATGCATAGGATATTTTTTCCATTGGCAACATTTATAGCCAAAATCCAGCTATTTTATGTTGCCTGATTGGTAGAAAAAGTCTTTAGCAGACTGCAAAATCTAGCCATATGTTTTAATCCACAGAGGTTTATAAATACTTTACGATCGAGTTTTTAAGATATCTAAAGATTCTGCTTAAAGAGTTTAAGTATATGAATGCAAATCAGGATTTTGAACTACATATCCCTGAAGTGAGCAAAAACAGGCACCAGAGATGGTTGCTTGAGAATTTGGGGATGCAGAATTCTGGGTTTTTGGACTGGCTGTTCCAGTTTGGCTCATTAGCAAAACTAGATTTATCTGCATACTTGGGGCACGGATTCAGACACAGGGTTCTGGGTCAAACAAAAGTCTCAATGATAAGCTCTTAGAATACTAAGTTTTCAGTCTTACCAGTTTGCTATTTCTTCAAGGCTTCGTTATACTGCAGTTGATTTGCCTGAAGACATATGTTGGACTCCCTGACAGCAATACACACAGTATTAGTAGAGGATGGGAGCTGATTAAATCCAACTCTCTTTCAGTTCATAGAGTTCACTTTGTAACAGGGAGACCATCACTGGCCCATGTTTAGGAGAAGAATGTGGCAAGGTACTTACCTGAGATGGACACATAGCACATGGCACGGCCAGACGACGTCATTGCACGGTGGGGGCTGCTTGAAGACTGTCTGGAACCGGCACAGCCAGGAACGTTCCTAAGTGGCTGGCCTGCCTGGAAAAACCTACAAAGGAAGCAACAACAGTGAAGGTTAGTGCCCTGGAGAGGAGACAGCTGAGCAACTCTAACAGTCTACACGGGGGCACAGAACCTTACAGACTGGAACAATTCAAGACTATGTGGAGTGAGTCCTATGACCACAAGACAGCCAGACAACTGATGGTGAGGCATTGTGAGTATGACGGGTGGTGGAGCCCTGCAACAGAGGACAATATACTGGACACCTATTATTGCATACGAGTCAGCAGTTTCCTTTTTTCAGTACATTCATTGTTTTCTCCCATCAAGGCGTGGCAGTGAGTCCAACAGGGGAGATGGCTATCAGCGTGCTCGTTAAAGGATCATCAGAAGGTGCCCTATAACAATGCCCTATAACACACTTTATTAGCTCTCTGCAGCTCCAGCCTTAATTCCTACCGTAATAATCACAGAGCTCACTGCTGTACAAGCCTGGCAGTATGTGTTACAGACAGTCCCGTAGTAATATTACATAACAGTCTGGCACTGATCCCACAAAGCAAAGAAAATGAACTCTGTATCCTTAGAGGGGGAAAAAAGCGCCTTATTTTCAAATCTATAGACCAACTGCTACTGGAACCGTGCCTATCACCATGGAGTTGTTTACATTTCTCCTCCAACAGCTGCAATAACCATTGCAGCTGCTGGAAGAAACAGGGAGACAGCTCTATATGGTGTTAAGTACCTTGTGCCTGGCCAGGCTGAATTCAAGACCGTCACAGTCTCAGCAATGGGAGGGGCAAAACTTCCATTTATTCTGCCAATAAAAAAATCAGACTCCATGTTAGGTGCAGTGAAGGAAGTATTAATGTAAGAAAAAAAGCAAAAGCTTTTGGCTGTATCTAAAGAAACAAGTATGATGTGAAGCCCCCTTTATGTTGTAACAAAAGACTGTTTTCCTTTGTTTTGTGTTTTGGGGGTAAACACTGTAGGTAGCTGCGAGTATTAGCCCTCCTAATGAAGGAGTTTTGTCTTAATGCCTGTCTCATGTACAGTGGATAGTGTGAGCAAATAATATTTTGAAAGGAAAACAGTTAAGTATACAGACGTATGACTGACTGTATGTTCATCTCTATTGTTTATTAGTATGATTCAATAAATAAAGGAAAGCAGTGACATACAGTCCAGAAGTGCAAAATACAAGGGATCTGAAAGCATTTTGCAGAGAGAATTAAGCCTCAAAACGACCCTATTGAGTAAAAATGAGCTTTCCTTAGGTGCTCCAAGATTCTGGACTAGGACTACAGAATTCCTAATATAGAATTCTACACTGAAGTTCAGCCGTATTTGCCTGTAAAACACAGCAATACTGCACAATTATTTCGGGCAGGAAACCAAAGAAGAGGATTTCCACTTGAAACTGAAAGAGAAGTCATGGAGGTAATTAAGCAAATTATGCTAATGTTAGAGTTATGTTATAGCTGTGATGTTCCAGGAATTATGATGCAAGAGGCAAGGATTTTTTAGGGTGATATCTTATATTGGACCAGTGTGACCCCTGGATTTGTGGGGTGGGGGTGGGGGCAGATGCAGGCTGCCTTCTGAGGGCTTGGGGCTCCCCATCCTGCCCCCAGGGGCCCCGGGCTGGCCATGCTGCCATGGCGAGGTGCCCTCTGCCCAGCCAGCAGCAGCGGGGGGCGGCAGCATGGAGTTGTGCCCCTTGCTGCTGCTGGGCAGGCAGGGGGCGTGCGGCCAGCACCGGGCTCCTGAGGGAAAAGCAGCAGGGCAGGGAGCCCTGAGTCTGCAGCAGGCAGCCCACATCTGCCCCCCACTCCACTCAGCTCTGGTCCAGCCATGGCAATGGCTGGGGGGCAGTGGGGACAGGCATGCATGTGTCCCCACCTTCCCCCTAGATAAAGGCCACAGTCCTGTATCACATCATACAGGGCTGATCAGGAGCTAAGGCCCTCTCAACAGAGTCGTCATACTGACTCCAAGGGTTCCAATATGATGGGCAGCTCCTCTGCCCGAGACGTCTTCCCATACAAGCCTCAGGGGGCTACCAGAGTTCTACCAAAATTTCCTCGGGGCCTGGAGGTTGGGCGCTGCCTCCAGGTCCTCAGATATAGTCACCTAGGGCACAGACTTCTTAGATGAGTGCCTGCTGAAAAATTCACATTTGTTAGTGCCAGGGATGAAGGTAGCCTGGGTGCACTGGAGGATGGTCCTAGCCAAAATCACCCGTAATTTGGGACCACCTGACCTTGCCAGGCAGGGGTGGGTGGATCCCTCTGTGCTGGCCTGGCACATAGAGCTGCCCACATTCAGTGTAGGGCAGTGGGGGGCAGCAGGGATCGCCCTCCGCCCGGCAGCACCTGGTGAGCACGGAGGCTTTTCTTTACTGGCAGGGGTCCCCCATAGTCCCCTCTCCCAGCCCCCTCTTCCCCACCCCTAGTACTTACCAGCTCAGAGTGACTGCAGCTCCCTGCTATAGTCACCAGGGACTGCCTGAATTATCAAAGCTCTCCGAATCTTTTCCAAAGCTTTAGAGAGCTTTGAATCAATTTGGACCTTTAAATTGGTCCCCTGATTCAATTTAGATTTAAAGATTTGGCCACCGAACTGCGCCGAATCTTCTCTGAATTGAATCACCACCCAAAGCTTCACACAGCCCTACTAATTAGTAAATATTTTGGAGAAGTGGAGCTGGTCCAGTAACTTCTGAATTAATGGGAGCAGGTAGTGGTTCCAGACAGAAATTTTATTTAGTGTTCTGTAGTCCATGCAAGGGCAAAGTAAGCCTCCTTCTAGGTCACAAAGAAATTTGCAGCCCTGGCTAGTGATATGGGGGGCCAAGTAAACCCTTTTGGCAAATTCTCTGAGATGCGTTCTTTTAAAGCCTCAAGCTCCAGTTCCGAGAGGGAGTAAAAGCATCTGCGTAGAATTTATTATGCCCCTGGCATAATGTCAGTGGGGCAATCATAAAGGTGATTTGCGGGAAGTTGATCTGCCCCCTTCTCATTGAACACATTAACCAGATCATGGTATTCTACAGAAGAGATGTATTATACAGCAGACTGGCACTCTTCAGGAGTACGGGCTGCATCTACACGAGAAGCTAACTGTGCAGTAGCTCATTATGACTGCACAGTAGCATTGCATGGCATGAAGCATGATGTGATGCTATTGCTCAGTTGTAATGAGCTACTGCACAGTTAGCATTACCAAAAAGCTGTTTGGGGACGCTACTGTTTAGTAGCGCTGGTTACTGTGCAGTCATTTAGTAGTTGTGTATACAAGTACTAAATGACTGTATAGTAACAACTGTACAGTCAGCATCTCATGTAGATGTGGCCACTGAGAATGGCATGGGGGCCAAGACTGCTGAGCACCTGCCTGACCTGAACTGGGCCATACCCTGGAAACATGTCTGCCCACAGTAAGCAGAAACAAAGCAAAGTTTCCTTTGCCCCCGCAGAATATCAGGGTGGTGGCAGGACAGCCAGAAGGTTCCAAGTGTGATCAAGAAGCTGGGGGAATGGATCAGATCAAAGCAAAGAAACTTCCAATGTCCATTTATCCATACTTTCAACAGAGCCATTTCCGCAGTGACAGGGCCCAAGGACAGGGTGGCTCCATCCATCAACTCCACTATGTCCAAGGTATGTTTTGACCTGACTGAAATCTGGTGTTGTGCAGTCTGGCTCCAGGGATGGCTGTGATCATTGGCAACGCGTGGGGGGTGCACATGCACCCCCTGAGATTGGCGGTGCACCCCCTGAGACCGGACGCCGCTGACAGCACCGGCAGCGCCTGTAGGTGGTCACTGCTCACCACCCCCTCCCTTGCTGCTGACACGACTGGTGGTGTCTGCGGGTGGTCGCCAATTGCCGCTAGCTGCTGCCAACAGCATCTGCGGGTGGTCGCTGACCACCGGTCAGTGCTCACCACCCTCCTCCCTCCCCCACTGCCAACATCGCTGCGGCTGGTCCCCGTTCTGGACACCCTCGGCACCAACATCAGTGCAGCCGCCTGCAGGAGCTCCCCACTCCCCGCTGCCATGCCGTCACCGCCACCAGCCTCTGGAGGCAGAGGCATTCATGACTGCGATGCCCCCTGGTGGCCTTATAACCTGTGCCCTGCTCTGCCTCTAGGGTACCCTCCCCTCCTTCTCACCCACCACACCTGGTTGTAGTTACTGGATTCAAAGGGAGGCTGCCTAAGGGTCCTAGAGAGAGCCTCAGTCTGTCTAATAGCTAACAGGTCCCTCCTGGATACCACTGGTCTCAATCCTGCCCTTGAGCTGAGTGGGCACTCTTAGCCCGTCAGTGCCCCGACCCTTAAGTGCTAATTACGTGTCTCTGACTTCCCCTTTACACCACACCCATGCCTCATAGATGTTGCCTGTCCAACCAGTCCAATCTGTCCCTTTGTAGGTGTCTTGTCCCAGTTGGCCTCTGCCCCCTTTCTCTTGCTGGGCTGCTCACCTCAGGATCTAATGTACTGGACCTGGCTTCTGCGGTCCAGCCCTAACCTTGCCCTATCGGGCTCTGGCTTAGCCCCTCTCTAGCTCTGTGCCCCTGGCCCCATCTCTGCCCTGCTCTGGGTGCTGGGCTTTTGGCCTTTCTTCACCCCTGTCTCCCCCCATCCCCCCCTTGGGCGCTGCTGCTCCTTTTTGGACTCCAGGCCCTCTGGTCCCAAGCTTTGTCCTTCTGGGCTCTGGGCCCTCTGGCCCCAGTCTGTACCTTGGGCCTGACCCCTGGTAGGGCTCAAAGTGGTCATGTGCCCCTCAAGCACTAATGGGACCTGTGAAACACCCCCAGTCCCTTCCACAAACCACCAGTTTAAACTATAATCAGTTTTAACTACAAGGAATACGACCCTCTGACCACCTGTCTGTGCAACCAGGCTTCCCCTTATCCTGGGTTAAATTCTTCTGCAAGGCAGCAGCATTCTGGTTGCCTTCCCCAAGGTAGTGCCAGTGCCAGTGCCAGCTAGGAGCTCTCCTGGGCCCTCCTGCTCTGGCACTCCTTCATAGGTGGAGGGATAAAAAAAAATTTTTTGAGGGGGGCTGAGCACACGCACACATGTGCACGGACCCCCCCCCACCTCTGGTGGAAAAAGTCTGAGAGGGGAGGGACGAGGGAAGAGAGAGAGGGAATGGGGCTGGGACCGGGCAGGGATTGGGAGGGAGCGGAGCGGAGCTGGGCCCAGAATTGGGGCTGGGGCCTGCTGCGCCGGTGCGGCCGCCCTTTCCCCCGGGCCCAGTATCATTGCCCAGTGCCAGTGTCAACAAACCTGACACCCCCTAACCCATCCCTGGCTACCTCCCCGCCCCACCCCAGCCCCACACCGTCTAGGGGGGCCCGGAGCAGGGGGCCAGAGTGGGGCCAGCCTCAGCTGCACTGCCAGGCCAGAGGAGATGGAGCCCCCTGGACCCCTGCACCTGCCCCACCAGGCCCTGCACAGCCAGGACTGGGCGGGGCAGGGCAGGACGTGGGACAGAGCTGAAGCTCGTCAGGGAGCCATTGGGAGGGGGCAGCAGCTCCTGCCACTGCACTCATCCTGGGAGGCATGCGGGGTGCATGCCCCTGATCTGTGCAGGGCAGGGCAGGCAGCCGCTGTGGGCTGGGGCCAGGGCAGTGCCAGGCTCTTCCTGGCGGGAGCGGCCGTGCTACACTGGGGCAGGTGATGGGGACACTGGGAGGGCTACAGCAAATCTTGCGGTGACTGCAGCTGGCCCCCCACCTGTAGCCTTCCTCCCAGTGCTGCCGCTACCTGGCCCCAGCATAGCACAGCCCCCCTGTGCCAGGAAGAGCCCAGTGCAGCCCTGGCCTGCAGCGGCAGCCTGCCCTGTCCCGCACAGATTGGGGGCACGCACCCCCCATGCCTCCCAGGGTGCGTGTAGCAGCAGGAGCAGCACCTCCCGCGTGAGCTGCTCGCAGCTCGGTCCTGTGTCGCCAGCTGGGCAGTGCTTGCCCCTCCCCTGCCCCACCTTTACTGCAGATGCTGGAAGCCCTTGGCCAGGCTTTGTTGCAGCCCTACTGCTGCTCCACGTTTGCGGGGTGGGGGGAGCTAAGCCCCATTAGCCCCTCCTCCTTTCTCTGCCTATGCCTCTTTCCACTGTAGCCTCCAGAGCCAGACTGCCTGCTCTGGCTCAGGCCCTGAGTTTATATGGCTGGAAGCCATGCTCCATTTGGTCACGTGGCTCCCTGAACTGCCACAGGTGTTTCCTGTGTAGGTTTGCTGACTAGCCTCCAGTGCAGCTTGCTGTTGCTGGTCTCACTGCTGCAGCAGAGCCTGTGCTTCCCAAGCATGGTTCTGCCCTGCTGGATTATTGCAGAGTAACCATCTCTGTGATAGGCACTCCTAGCATCTGCCACTTCCCCAGCGGGCTGTCATCCTTGTAGCCAGCTCCATCTACTACTCTTTTCTCCTCAAGTAACAGGAGCCTTCTGGCTCTTAGTTACATGCCGCAAATGCTGAGTCCATACAGTTCCAAGGCCCCATATCCAGGAGAGCTGACTAGGAGATGCCAACCATGGCTGGATGACAGATGGAGGGGGATTAACAAGAGTGAATCTGGTTCCCTTGCAGTGATGGAGAGTCTAGCACAAGTCAGAGGGGCTGGGTGAGGAGTAGGCAACTGGTCCAACCTGCCTCCCTCCACCAAGGATGGGCTGGTCAAGTTCCCTGATGACAAGCTTGGAGTACCTTTTTCAGGACAGATCCAGGCAAAGCAGCCTGCCTCTCTGCAGTAGAGGTAGAGACCTCCTGAATGCCAGCACACGTTTACGTTAGTGGAGAGCCTTTTCCTTGTTGTCTCCATCCGCATGAGCTTCACTGACAATAACGCAGATTCTTCTGGGTGCTTAGCTGGTCCTAAGGCGCAAGGCGAGGCCCACTTCTCCTGCCAGCATTCAATCAAGCAGACTTGAATCCTAATCCAGAGATTGATGAGCCCAACCAGAGATGCTGGAAGCTCAACCTAGGCCAGCTCATCCGTGATATTTCCCTGGAGACCCAGGCAGAAATTAAAGTGCTGAACAGCCTCATTCCACCCTGTAGCACTGGCTAGGCACCTAAATTCAGCAGGGTAGCAGGACACAGAGCAGTGGCTCTGTTTCAAGGTCTGAAAGGCCCATTGCATCATGTGTGCGCAATTTGGGTCCCCAAAGATTATGACCATTACCTTGATAAAAGTTTTGAGCTGATCAAGGAGGGGAACTGAAGGCCTCCAAGAGTGGGGAGACCCAGGCCAGGGCATCTTCAGTCAGGAAATAGATTACTAGCCCCATTCTGGCAGTGTCCAATGCATACATTTGGGGAGACAGTCAGAAGACCAGATGGCATTGATTTATAAATCCCCCAAATTTATGGGGGTACCCATCAAATTTATTTGGTAGGGGAATCTTGGGCTTGAGGTTTGCCAATGGGCCTAGCTGAGCAGCTGGCCCCAGAAGGGGACCATTTGGGCTTGCAAATCTTGCAGCATGACCAGCAATTCAACTCCAGAAATCTGACTCAGCAGCTGGTTCATCCTACCATGACCCAGTGGGGTTATTAAAGGGTGGCTGTGCAAGCTGTCATAGTCCACAGGGGCAGCAGGCCTAGTGGGCAGAGTTGGGGCTGAACCAGGGGTTACCAAGGTAAGCCACAGTTTGGAGCAACAGAGGGCAGATCCAAATTACAAGCCAAGGAGGCTCAGAAGCCAAGCACCAACCCAAGAGACTAACCAGGATCATGGTCTAAGAAGCAAGCTAAAGTCAAGCCAGAGTTCAAACACTGAACCAATGCGTTTGAACTAGAGTCTGAACTCCATAGGGATGGTACATGGTTAGGAGTACCAGGGCAGGAGCCAGGGAAGTCACAGAGGCAGGAGTTACTCAAGGATTGAAGCCAGTACATTGTGCATCAGGGCCTAGGCTGCTGCAGGAATTCCTTAAAAGCAGCCCCAGAACCAGTCAAGGGATTCCTAAAAGCAGATTCGGCCGGACACTGGGTGGGGGGGCAAGTGGGGTTGACAAGCCCTGGCCTAGCTAAAATCAAGGTATACCACATCCACTGGTCTCCCCACATCCACAGAGCTGGTCATCTCATTCTAGAAGGCAGTCACATTGGCCAGGCATGGCTTACCCTTGGTGAATCCATGCTGATTGTTCCTAATCACCTTCTTCTCTTCCAAGTTCCTAGAATTGGATTCCTTAACGATCTGCTCCATGATTTTTCCACAGACTGAGGTGAAGCTGACTGGTCTGTAGTTCCCTGGATCCTCTTTTTTCTTAAGTATGGGTGCTATGTTTGCAAGTGAGCAAGTGCTGTGGATGCAGGGAAAGCAGTGGATATGATATAACTTGACTTTAGCAAGGCTTTTGATACGGTCTCCAACAACACTTGCAAGCAGTTAAGGAAATATGGGTGGGATGAATGGATTGTAAGGTAGACAGAAAGCTGGCTGGATCACTGGGTTCAACAAGTAGTGTTCAATAACTCAAGGTCTAGCTGGCAGCCAGGATCAAGTGTAGTGGCCCAGGAGTTGGTCCTGGGGCCAGTTTTGTTCAGTATTTTCATTAATAATCTGGAAGATGGGATGGAGTGCACCCTCAGCAGGTTTGTGGGTGACAACACCAGGATGGGGGTGGGGGGGGGGTGGAATAGTAGATACACTGCAGGATACAGCTAGGATTCAGAGTGGCCTCAACAAACTGGATTTAGTCAAAAGAAATCTCAAGAGGTTTAACAAGGACAAGTGCAAAGTTCTGTACTTAAGGCAGCAGCTCTGGAGAAAAGGACCTGGGGGTTACAGTGGACAATAAGATGGATATGAGTCAGCAGTGTGCCCTTGTTGCCAAGAAGATTAACAGCATACTGGACTACATTAGTAGGAGCATTGCCAGCAGATCAAGGGAAGTAATTATTCTGCTCTATTCTGCACTGGTGAGACCACATCTGGCGTACTATGTCCAGGTTTGCTCACCCCAATAAAGAAAGGATGTAGACAAGTTGGAGAGAGTTCAGCTGAGGGCAACGAAAATGGTTTGGGGACTGGGACACATGACTTCTAAGGAGAGTCTGAGGGAACTGGGCCTATTTAGCCTGCAGAAGAGAAGACTGAAGGGGGATTTAATAGCAGCCTTCAACTACCTGAAGGGAGCTTCCCAAGAGGATGGAGCTGGACTGTTCTTAGTGGTGGCAGATGACAGAATGGAATGGTCTCAAGTTGAAGCAAAGGAAAATTAGGTTGGATATTAGGAAAAACTCTCTCACGAGGAATGTGGTAAAGCACTGGAACCCAGAGAGGTGGTGGAATCTCCATCCTTGGAAGTTTTTAAGACCCGACTAGACAAAGCCTTGGCTGGGATGATCTATTTGGGGATGGTCCTGCTTTGAGCAGGGGTTGGACTAGATGTGACCTCCTGAGGTCCCTTCCATAGATTTGCAGATTGTAGTGTCGGAAGGGATCCCAAAGGATCATCGTGTCTGACCCCCTACCCCAGGCACGAAAAGGACCGAGGTCAGACGACCCCAGCCAGGTGCCTATCTAGCCTCCTCTTGGAGACCTCCAAGTTAGGTGATAGTACCACCTCTCTTGGCAGTCCGTTCCAGATTCTGGCCACCCTTACTGTGAAAAATTTCTTCCTAATGTCTAACCTGAATCTACTCTCCACTAGTTTGTACCCATTATTCCTAGTTACTCCTAGGGGTGCCCTGGTAAATAGCTCATCTCCAACTCTCTGTTGTCCTCCCTTGATAAAGTTATAGGCTGCTACAAGGTCTCCCCTCAGATCTGGAGGAGGACCTGGATTTTCTCCTGGAAAAATTTCTAAGGAGAAATTTCCTAATTTCCTAAACCGAACACAGGATTCCAGGTGAGCCCTCACCAGTGCTGAACAGAGTGGAAGAATCACTTCCCTTGATTTGCAAGTGACACCCCTGTGAATAAAACCCAGCCTGCTGTTAGCCCTTTTTTTTTTTTTTTTTTGCAAGAAAAAGACACAGTAGACTCACATTCAGTTTATGGTCCGCTGTAACTGCCAGGTCCTTTTTCTGCAGTACTGTAGCCTAGCCAGTCACTCCCCAGTCTGTGTTCATGCATAGTTATTCTATCCTAAGTGCATGACTTTGCAGTTTGCCTTACTGAATTTCAATTAAGACATAAAGCATTGAAAAGATTTCAATTTAAATATGTATATTTATTTATTTTTGTTTATTTTAATACATATTTATATGTTTATTTATTTTTGGACCATTTCTCCAGTTAATCTGGGCCATTCTGGATCCTAGTCTGTTGTATTCGTCTAAGTATAGCCAGAAATAAAATGACTCAAGTCACTGGTGGGAACAAGAGTGGTGCCATACTGGCCAACACTGAATATATTTTGAACATAAAGCAAAACTAGGAATTAGTTGCCATCAGCAGATTCAACAAACAAATATTTAAACTTAGCTTCTCATATGCACATTCAATTACCACATTAAAATCTCATATTTCCCTGCCCTCTAGCGCAGGGGTTCTCAATCCCTGGGCCGTGGCCTGGTGCTGGGCTGCAGCGGGTCAGCTGCACGGTTGGCTGCCAGACCGGAAGTGGCCACGGACCAGCAAACTACACACCCCCCCGAGCCGGGCAGAGAGGCCGCAGCTCCTTCCACGGGGCCTGCAGCAGCGCAGGGCTTGGCCCGCCACCCCTCTGCCTGGGGGGTGGGGGTATCCTTACCTGTCTCCCAACTGGAAATTCTGGCTGCGGTCAGCTGTGACTGCTGGGCCGCAACATAAAAACTTTGGGAACCCCTGCTCTAGGGTACCTGCAACTCTACCCAACTTGGTGCCATCTGCAAGCTTGCTAACAGTGCATCCCAGTCTCCAAATCAGGGTTGAGAAACTCACCTTGTGACCTGGACTGAATCTGGACCACAGGGCTCCTTATGGGCCTGATCCAGCCCAGGGCAGGAGAGGTGGTGGCAGCAGCTGGTCTGGCTCTGATTTTGAGCATGTGGTGGCAGCAGTTCTGGCTTTGGCTCTGACCCAGGACACACAACCGTGACTCTAGCCCCTGCCATACGCCTTGTGCTGGAGCCAGAGATACTGCTGCTGCGTGCCCTCTGCAGCGGCAGCAGCTCCAGATCCAGCAAGGGTAGGGTAGGGTAGGGAGGTAGGGTTGCATAAGTGGTGACAGGCAAAGCAGCTGCAGGGTGACCAGAGCTGTGTCAGCCCTCACTTGCCCTCCTGCTGCTAAATGCCAAGTTGGTTCTGGATTCTGTGGCAGGCCATGCCCCTGGCCTCGTCCCCCAACTTCCAGTGGCCCAATGAGATCCTGGCAGGCCAGATAGAGACTCCTAGGCCAGATCCAGCCCACGGGCCATATACTTGACACTTTCCAAATCATTAATGAAGGTGCTGAAATGACACCCGACCCAGGACAGACTCCTGGGGAACCCCACCCAGTACCTTCCCGCAACTAGATGTTGAGCCATTGATGACTACTCACAGAGCATGGCGACTCAACCTATGCATCCACCGTACAGTACTCTCATCTAGTCTTTGTTTCCTTTGCTTATTGAGAATGTCACCAGAGACGGTCAAAAGCCTTGCTACAACTAAATTACATTGCATTCACTGCTCTTCCTCCCATCCACAGAGTCCGTCGTCTTATACGTGGGAATCAACCCATTCTGGCTGTTCCCGACTGATCGCCTGGCTCTTCTTCAGAGAAAGCCGAAGGAGAGCGGCAAAAATGACAAGGGAGGAGAAAAGGCTGTAGGAACCAGGTGTCCTCTGGTTTGACAGAAGAGAAGATGGTGGCAGGGGGAACACACAGAATAAGCCTCCCAAGGCCTAAAACTTTTTGCCCGGTGGGCTGGCTTGGCAGTGCCTGGTCCATCTGCAGGCCGGATCCAGGCAGTGCTGGGCTGGCACAGCCAACACCACCCAGCCACGCAGGGGGCCGCGCCAGAGGCCGGGAGCTTGACCCAGGCGTGGCTCGGCTGGGGGCAGGGCCAGGCCCCAAGGTGGCGGGCAGTGGCCTGGCCCCAATCCAGAAGTGGGGGCAAGGCTCAGCCCCCCGGGAAGGGGGTGTAGCAGGGGCTGGGGTATTTGGCGGGGGGGGGGAGGG